TTTCCAACAATAGATTAACATCACTTCCAAATGACATTGTGAGATGTAGCAGGTTAACTCATTTGGTCGCCTCCAATAATCAACTTGAATCAATACCTTCCAAAATTGGGCAACTTAATCGATTGATTACTCTTAATCTTCGCGAAAATCTAATTAATAATCTTCCTACTGATTTAGGCAGGCTTGTAAATTTAACAGATTTGGATTTATCTTACAATGAATTGGTCGTTTTACCTGAAGACATAGGAAATCTTAAGAAACTTACTGAGATTAAGCTCAATAATAACCCGTCATTATTGGCAATACCAGAAACATTCCGAAGATTGTCACAAATCAAAAAGATTCATTTGCAACATTGTAATCTTAGTTCAATTCCTTTCGAGATAGGTGATGCATATAGTCAACTTGAATATGTTAACTTATCTTTTAATTTATTTGACGCGGTCCCTAATTTACACGGAATGTATGGAACAACTGTCTTAAACATATCAAATAATCGAATCAATGACTTGACCGAACAGATAGGTCAATTGGAATCACTGTGTGAGTTATATGTGGTGAATAATAAACTTACACATATATCAAAATCAATTGGTCGACTAAAGAATTTAGAAATATTGGATGTATCAGAAAATTTACTTGTTGAATTGCCGTTATCAATTGGTGATTGTCAAAGCTTACGAGAACTTAAATTACGAGGCAATTCATTAGAAACTTTACCAATGACATTGGGACGATTAAAAAATTTAAATGTATTCTATATTGGTCAATGGCCGATGACCGAGTTCAATATAACACAAGATGAGAATCATTATGAGAATTTAAAAATGAATCCATATCAACTTAAAATTCCACTGTCTGTTGAACGAACATTGTTATGGAGAATGCACGATTCGATACTAAAAAGATTAAAAGATATAGATCATATTGATGGAACTTCAGAGAGATCTTTAAGAAGTCCATCAGGTGAAAGTAATCATTCTCAAGACGGAGGAAGTCATGACCAATCAACAAATAATACCAGTCAGCCATTACCAAGGGATGATGTGAATAATTATTAATATTTACAGAAGTTTGGTCCCTAGAAGCTGATGATTCCCGTGCCAAGGTTCTTGAATC